AAGTAGTTCTTCTCTAAATATGTAAAAGTGGACATATGAGGGTTTTTCAGTAGAAATTATCCAACCTCTTAACATTTCTGTTGATACTCACTCAAGCTGCTAAAGAAACTTGGAAACTGGAAAGTGAACGGTTCAATTCTATTATGAACAATTATACGGGTAAGCCTTGGTAACCTGAAATAAATATATCTCACATTTTTGAATGCAAAATGTGTTTACTTTTCAATCAAACGACTCAATAAATCAGCCAATTTCATTTACAAACAAGAAGTGGAAACTCTGATACATCATGGATTTTCTACTTCATGAAAAGCAAATAGTGTTGACCCGCCAAACTGATAATGTCCGTTTCGCCTTCCACAATATCTTCATAGACTTTACTCAACTTAAAATTTACACACACCTTCACATATTATCCACTTACAGTTAAATGTCACTTACTTATCTTACAGATTTGAATAAATCCATTGTACCAGACTTCTGTGAGTGATGTGAAAATTTTAAATTGTATTTCACACAAAACCACAACTTTGTGTTCAGAACTAACTTTGAAACAGATCTGGATAAATTGCTATATCCCATCCATCACTACCATATTGTATCATAATTCGTACCTCTGAGACAATGATGAAATATTGTACTTTATTCCATCCATTAACTATCTACTAAGTTATCAGGAGTTATTAGCAACAGCCTAGTGTGATATCACCGTGACACACAACTTGCAAACCGAGTGATTTAGCCCTGATTTCACTATCTCTGAACTTCAAAACAGCAATAATCTTTTCACATATGTTCTTGACACTTTGTATCACAGTAAATTGATTTACACATACTCCTTGCATAAAACCGTATGTAATTGTTCATTACAGGTATGAAAATGTTGCAGCAAAGTAGTGCTAGAAACTGGGACGCAAATATTCAAAGTAACATATTACATGGTGAGTTCAATGCAGTTTTATTCAAAATGCTTGCGTTTGTCAATCTTGCTTTGAATAACTTGGTTGTGTGTCTCTAGGCTGATAGGTGACAATTAAGTTCTCCACTCTGGTCTGTAATACATCAACCAGTATCAACATTCTTCAATAACTGGAGTTTATTACCATTGGACGCAATATCCCTGAAATAATTTAGGATGTCTAATCTTTCTTCACGCAGTCAAGAGACAATTGTAAGTATTTGGATAGATGCTAACTTGGCAACAGCTTGCAACGATCTCACAGGAACACTCGATCAACATGGCTAAATCGAACATACATGCGTTTTCATAGTTTCCTTGTTAACGAAACAGAAGTTGAATTCATCCGTCTCGGGATTATCGTCACAATAGCTTCCATTCACTGTAAGGAATCATATTCACTTGACAGATCACAGAAGATACGATTACTTACATAACAGCTATATGAGAATACTATTTGAAGTAAACTTACTTATTCACCTGTGCCTTGACACGTCAACAGGTTGTGGCGTCCTGAAGAAATATTCCCAGTTGAAATGGGAAGCAAGAACACAATTAGATAAGCTGGCAAGTAAGCGAATGTTTTCCAAACTCAATCAGTTGTCAGATTCTGCCTATTGCAAGATTATTATAGTCAGTCATGTATGAGGATCACTTCCATAGTGTCAACTAGTGAACGGGAATTCCAACACACACATCTGAGTTATTTGCATGAAGTGATGAATTTTCGAGTTAGCAATGAATGAATCTTACGTGTTATGTTTTGTCGGAATAACATTTAGTAGCATCAGATACCTCTTTCTGAATAACACACACGGCGTTTTATAGTACTAATGTCGCTGTTTTCTTCAATACAGTTAGCTGGTTGGATGGCTGGTTTAAAAACAGTCAATCGCAATACGTGGAGGATAGAGGTAGGTTTGTTTTCAGAAATTATTGAGTTGGTGAACTTGAGCGTTACTCAACTACATCTTTCGACTGATATCAGTTTGAGCCGTACCGCACTCCAGATTCGATGAAAAACAATACTTGCCTAAAACAGTTGCCTGCATATCTGTAAGTGTTTCAACAAAGTTAACGAATGGCGAACTCAGTGGCGGTTGGAAAATTACGTTGGCAAACCCAATTGTGGAAATCTTTGGATGCATAATTGTAACGATTGAGTAAATATGGCACTACTTATTCGATTAGTAGGTAAATATTTGCATTTCCTCACCTCATTCACCTACTATTTTGAATTGCTTAGAGTTGGAAACGATCAAACAGCTTTCGATTTCATATCTTTCTATTACCATTCAGCATTTTCCTCAATGGTGAAAGTCACCGTTTTCAACTCTCGTGTATTTATTTGCCATATTCAAAACAGGTTTCGATTACCGTTTGAGAAAAGAAAATGTCGAATGTGCAGAGAGAGTGATGAAGATACACCGAAGCAAGTGTAGCCTGAGTTTTAATTCGAGTTAATAAATAAGTGTTGCTTACATATCTTGGTTCTCATTTGACTGTATCACATGATACATTGACTGAAATCTTATGATTGCTTTAATCTCCCTACAATTTCAACCACACATTCGTCGATATCAAATGATTGTCGTAATTTTGTTTCTCACTGTTCATAGCTGAAGCCGAAATAAAATGTTTGTCAACAGTTGAAATATATTTTGAGACACGGCGAGTGAAAGGTTAGTTGACACGCCATTCCTCCATATGCGTAATACATAAAATGAATAATAACAACTCGAGGCGTCATTCACTATCGATCACTGGATTAAAGTGCTATCAGACGTGCAATATTCTAATAGTAATCATGACAGCGGGAACGGGAACGTCTCTTGGCATCGAACCAAGTCATGTGGAGAAACAACATAAAAGTTAAGGGGTGTTTGCTTCATTAATTCATTCAATTCCAGACTTCATTATTCAGCAACATATTTCCAAGTTATCTATCTGTTATCGTAGTTGTATACAGTGTGATTATAATCATTTCACAAACCAATGTATCTCATAGGCAGTATATATTCGTCATTTACTTACATTTATATGTAGTGCATTCCTGCTCAGTGTTTCCACTATTCTGTATCACGGATAACGTATTCTTTGCAGATACCACGAACTCAAGAAAACTAGGCAAAGAATTTTTCGAAATTTTCAAAAACTACAACCATTCACTAGGTAAGATCAGTGGTTAAATCGTTAAAACTAAGTTAAACCACGTGCACATCTGAAATCCAAGTGACGGATTTTCGTTCCACTGCACTAACGTCATTGCAACACTTCTATTGAACTGTATCTAAACCTTACGATACAATTTCGGTTTCCTTCCAGGAACAGAGAATCAAACATGATTCGTGACCTACTTTCCAAGCTTTCTTCTGCTCACAGTGTATCGCCATAACTACTGAGGTCTGTTCGATTGCACTAATGCTTTCTGTCTTTCCAAACAATTCCAAATCATTGGTATGCCACACGGAAACAAACGTGTTCACATAGTTATTTTTGTTGAGTTCACTCAGACAATGAACTCCCTGATATTGCCATATTATGCGTGTCAGACACACTGTTCCATTGAATTGGTGAAGAAAACTTCCACAGCTTTCAGCTAAGCTTTCACACCACTAACTCGCCAAGTATGTTAGGAACATACTGATACCACATTTGTTACGAATCTGTTTCATTCTGATTAACATTTGTGCTCTGGATAGTTATTTTTCGAGAATACTACTTCAATTTATTTCACAGTCGAGTTGAAGAGTAAAGTGCAAGACCTCGAAACTCGCAGGCTTGATTATTTGCGATGTAAGTTTGAAAATACTCCTAACTAATATGGTATTCAGTTGTGTCTCCTATTGAGAGAGTCATCAACGTTTTAAGTGCAATGGATGCAGAGGTGGATCACCAGTATGGTAAGTGTAACTGATGTCCATTCACTTTTATCTTTGCACTTACTCACTATGCTTTTGCTCATGCAAGTCATTTAAAATGTTACCATAAGACGGTAAACGTGTCAAAATCATATTGCGAAAATGTATGTAATATGGGAGCCATTCAGTGGAATTCTGACCATGAATAACAATAGCGATTGGGTCACAATCAATTTTGTCAGTGTGTGACCTAACATTTAAGATGTAACCCAAGTTCTGTAACAATGATGATTCCAGACGTATATGAATAATATCACATGTTCAATGATTTTACGTGTTCAACATACTTGAGGAATTCATCTAGATACATGAGTTCAGTGCAATTCCGCGAAAAACTGCATAACTCCATGGCATTTGCAGTGTTGGAACTTGTTTAAAAGGCATATATTTGTGCACGGATTGATTAAGAAACAACTACATTGCATCACTGCGTACATAGTTCTGGCTACTGATCAATGTTTGGAAGATTCGTGAGAATATATTGTGCAATGAGTGATGTAAAATAGGTGACTGATCAGTCATGACACATTTATGTCCTTGCTACTCTACATCGGTCGGAACTATTTTATGCACATTGGCGCTGTATGCTTCATCAATAATCGACTTCATCGAGTATATACTTTGTGTTATTTACATATATTCCTTCAAATCACTCCAAATAATCATCAACTCAACGTCTACTTTCCTTGTAGGAGTCTACAATTAACTCAGAGAATGGGGCGGGATGCACTGTCGTTTCATTTAATAACACTATTTAGTTTGCAGCAGTAGTATCAATACTTTAAAATTGTTTGATTAAATGCAAGTCTATCACAATATTTTTGTCTTCTTGATCTACACGAGATGCTGGAACTAAATTATTGAGTGCAAAGTGCTTTGTGATTGCTTGTATCCTTTCGGTCCTCAGTTCATGTCTGTCTCAATAATCAACACAGAAAAACCCAGTCTTCCTCTCTTTTCAAATTTCCGGCTCACCAATCTTCATTTGATTCGCATGTTACTCTAAACAGTGAAGTCGAAGGATCCAAGGTATTAAGGCACATTCAATGTGATTCATTGGAGGAAATCTAGATCGAATCCCGTTTCTTATGCATTGTGTGTTGCTCGGATGATAAACAGGCTCAAACCGTTACTTGAAAGGCCGTAAACACTAACAGATAAGAAGTCGTTGGCACAAAACAATTTACAGATAATCTGGTCAATACGTTATCTCTTATAGATGTGGATCTCGCTTCACAATGTCCACTAGGTATGTTGTTCTCATCGTCAGTTGACTTAGATAAACAGGAAGAGCAATTACTCGAATCCTTCTGTGAAGGCAATGCACCACTAAATGTCGGCTGACCTGAAACAAGAAACATCTGATTGCCCGATTGAGCTACTGTAAGGAATTTCTTCGGGTGCCAGGATAAGTGAAGTATCTCACGTTGACAGTGTATCTGGTGCATTCCAGGGACAGTTGATGTCCCTGATTGAAATTCTTCCATAGACGTTTTTTTGACAGGCAGTAAATTTTCAATGACACTTGATAACTCATGACCATCATTTGAGTTCGGTACTGTGAAAGAAGAACTAACACCGTATCCACATTTCTCTATCCTCTCACATTGAGAATGCTTGTTGCGATGACGATGTTCACTTTTGTGGTGACAACTACGGGCCTTCCCGTGTTCACTTTGTACAACACAATGAGAATCAGTAGAAATATCAGCACGAGAAGGAAGGATTTGCTTTCGACGCTTCGAACCTGTTGGCGGTGCTGAGGGAGTATTCTCTGTAGGGTTGGGATCTTCTAATTGACAGTTAGATAGCTTTGTTCTACCAGGTGACACCTCTGAGGTGTTCGAACTATCGTCAAATTTACTCCAATCATTATTATCACTATAGCTGCTATGCGAACTGGTTTGACTCGTCGTTTCTGGAAAGAGAGCTTCCACAGCATCCAATGGTGCTACGAAAATTGAAGATAAACCCAACCGACTTCCAATTGGATCATCAGGAGACATAAAACGTTTAGGTGATAAGTAACCCTCAGTATTACATACAGAATTTGTGTTATAAGGATTGCTTGAATCGTCAAGGTCATACAACCAATCAGAGCCATTGTGACGGTCAAATATATGAAAGAGGTTGCCGTAAGATCCCGTTATTGCATACCTGTATATAAAATGTAGGGAATATCGTATGACAGAAATATGAGTTTTAAGGTTGCACAGAACCGACTAGAGCAAATATATCACATCTCGTTTAATCCTTCAAAATCTAACTCTTGCATCAATGCACAACCGTTGCTGTTACCTTGATGTTGTGGTCAGGCTTGCTTATCGTGATGAAACAATCGAGCTATACTGGCTATACCAACCGTTCTTAGAGATCCTACTATGCCAGATAGGTTGGTTGAAGAGCGGTCACACTAGAATAAGCGAAGTGAGTCCCCGAGGGCGAAGTCCTACTGCTGACTGTATAGTCGTATAACAGCATTAAGATGTTCCCTTCAGCAACCGGAATCAAACAGTCAAGCGTTAGTGTGATCTCGGAAATCTACAATACTTTTATCTGCTCTCAGCTCAAGGGTTTAGACGATGGGCTTAACACCTTAGGGGGCAGTTCAGCTGACCATCAGCTACTCGACAACCATCCACTACTCTCAAACAATCAGAATGGCACATTGAAGTAGGTCCCCGACTGTAATTGAAATTCCAAAAGCTATAGTTAGTATGAAACAAGGAAGAGCAGCTGTTCAAGTTGGATTGGCTCGAGAGGTCTTTAAGTATGGTGGTCCAGCTTTAGCGATTAGGTTGGCTAATATTTTACTTAAAATCTGGCAGTCGGACTTAATCTCATCTGACTGATCACAATCACTGATTGTGCCAATATATATGAAGGGGTCAAAATCATTCAGTAACAACCACAGAGGGATCAGTTTAACAAACATAGCATCTGAAATACTAGCCTCAATAAATGCCTGACGCCTAACAAAGACGCGTGAACTACAAACACGAGAAAAAACAGCTGGCTTCAGACCTGGTCGTGGTTGAAACGACCACATATTCACCACTCATCAGGTTCTAGAACACAGGCATGCTTATCGGCGCCTGACAATGGTGGTTTTTCTTGACTTGATAGCAGCATTTGTCTCTGTAGACCACGAGATTCTGTGGCAGTGTCTTTAACTGAATGAATGAATAAATGAATCAATGCAGAAATCTCACCATTAAACATAATCGTATTGTCGACTCACCAGTGTGGTTTTTACGAATCAAACAACTCTTCATCTGACGAAATACATCTCACAGTCAGTCCTCGGGAAATACCTCGAAAGCCAGAAAGGGCATCAACGAACCATTCTCATGGAAATCGGCCTTAATAACGGTCATGTATGATTATTATTATTATTAATACATATTTGACAAAAGTCTCAACGGTCAATGCGACTAGACATTTACGTTTTACGGTTCATGAGCACAGATAAAAAGAAACAAGAAATATACATTTTTAAAGTTTACCTATCATCATCAGACCATCCACATAAGAATTTATCAAAAATAGCATCATTTTCATACAACATACAAAGTTGTGATCGAAATGGTTCATGAACTGAATAAATTTCACACGGTCGATCGCCCATTCTCATATCCCAAACTAAGGTAGAGAAAAGTTTAAGATAAACAGTGAGTGAAGAAATCGGTAAATACACGAGTAAAGCATTTCTAGCTTCCAGTAAACCACAGCAGTACGTAGGTTGAGTTTCAAAAGCTTGAACTTCAACCAGCAGTTAGACCAATAGTATCTAATGAAGTGTGAACAAGTAATAGCTCATATCTCTACGAAACTGTTAAGGCGCACTCACCAAACCGAGTGTGAATCTAACCCACTAAATTGAAACCACTTGTGATTCAACTCAAAGAACACAAAACCGTAGCAAGCGAGTTACTACACTCATATAAACTGGGCAAGCATTTTAACCCGTAAATTTGTACGTTGATAACGAAACAATGAAGGAAACTTATAAACCAAAAGAAACTGCTTCTATGAGAAGGATGCGATAGCAGCCGGAGGGGAAAACTAGGCATTATTATCATTAAATTTCTATGGAACGATGTTTAAAATCACCTCGAACAATATCACACAACAATGCTAATAATAATAAACAACGGAAACCATTAAGATCGTTATGTTCGTCATACGGCTTACTACTACACCTGAAGACTAGGCCACGAATCGCCATGAGGCAGACAGCTCTACCAACATGTATAGAGCTATCGCACATCTCGACAATTAACATTGAGGAAAACTTTGACAAACCATTTTATCACAATAGTTTTGGAACGCTGACAGGTGCCTGTGAATTACTTTACTATCTTTGGTGTGCAGCCATACTAGGACCTACTGCTTTGAACGTTCGGAATTAAACAACAGCGTGCGTATTTTATTGTGAAAGTGTGTGTTCAATCTTCCCCTTCGAGATATTAAATAAATCGTCTTCGAAATGCGGTAATCCAACCCAGTCTGCCGAACCTCAGAGGTTATGGCACTCATAACTCAACATCAAAACCACATCTTACTCATTTTAAATTTACAATCCTAATATACATTAGTTTACAAGACAGTCTGTAATAAGCAACGTAGAATCTGGAATATGTGTGCATCAGTTAGGCCTATTTCTTGGTGAAAACCATTTAGTTCACTCTTCTTTGAATATGCTTTGAGTCGGCTATACACCTCTTAGACATGCGGACATGATGAAGATTATTTTTAGAGATGGAATGTTGAATAAACACTAAAAACAGTTTCAAGTAAACCTGCATTAACTGAACTTCTGTAGAAACACTGCACGAGCAATCGATATCAGTAATGATGAGTGAGGTTCTGGAAGCTCTCGGAGAGTTCGATATGGACAGAGTATCACTACTCCTCAATACAAGTATCCTGAAGTTACTGCTGTTGCAGTGAGGGAGATTACTATCGCTTTGGTCATATATCTTACATAATTCTTCCTCAATATCTAAGACAACATTCAGTCATGTGTGGTAAAATGGAATAACGTATGTTTTCATGTGACCTATCATCCTACCATTAATTTATACATCACACTTATCATTTGTGATTTTGTAATCTACTTCAGCGCAATGATTGACTGATAAACTGCCTTGATTCACTGAAGACTGAAGATTGTGACTTTGATATTGGTTGACAGTTGTTTCGAGTTGCAGATGTCCTCGATTTGTAGAAATGCTTTCTTTGCCTTGACGATCCTCACCTTCACATCAAAATCAAATCCTCCATATTCATCGATGATACCACCCAGATACGTCAAATGTTCCACATCTTCCAGAGATTCTCCATCTAATGTGATTGGGTTGGTGTTCTCCGTGTTGTATTTGAGGATCTTACTATTTCCCTAATGTATGTTGGGGCCTACTGATTCACAGGCTACTGTCATACTAGCTGCCTTGACCTGAATTTGTTGATTTCTACGGGATAGAGGGGTCAAGTCATCTGAAAATTCCAAATCCTAAATAAATAACCCAGAATAAATTAACAAGTTCAAATAATACACTAGAAATACAATTTTCTACTCATTGGGATATCAGAAAAATGTATGTTTGTTTTACTAACGTTCTACTCAATGACCTATTGATTTAAAAATATCAAGTCTCATTTGGGCATTGACACCTACAAACTGAATAATAACTGAAGAGAACATTCTTCGTTCATACATTAGTGATATAATTTGATGGAGATTTTTAGACATTATTATCTATCGAAATAGCTAGAATGAACTGTAGTTTTATACACTAAGAAGTTGAATATGTATTCTTCTACAAATAAGATTTAAAGAACTTCAAATCTTATAAAATGCGTCAGTGTATTTCTCAAACATAATCTGTACAATTTCCAGTTCAGATGAGAAAATTATATCAAATAATAAAGCCTTAATCATATTATTAAATTGTTATTCTGCAACTAAATAATCAAACTAATAACATACACCATTTAGGTATTTCAGCTAGAATATAATAGACATTCATGGTTTTACAAACCAATAATGGTGAAGATCTGTTAATGCCAATAAAAAATACATGATAATGATAGAGTGGTTGAATTAGTAATGACATTAGCATAGATTTACCATTAGTGTGATTTGAGGAAAACATCTCAGACTTCGTAGTGTTGTACAAAAGCCTTCAAGGGCGTATTCTAAGATTTATTGAAGCCTTGGCTATACGGAAGCTGAATCCCCTTTATGTGTTCAAAAACAATTTGTTCTCACCCTTAACCTACCCTGATAATACTGGTTTATTATCCAGAGTGTTTTTGTGTACTTTATTTTTCTGCTATTCATTGTTTATAAAAATCGTTTACAAGACCCAGACATTATGAGATGATGAACAAGTTCAACCAAGTGAATAAAACGTTTAACGTTACTCTGAGGAAGCAAATATATATATATTTATTTAAATTAAATTTATAATAGTGGAATATGTTGTCAAAATTTAGCTAAGTAGTAAGTAATGTTTTGTCATTGAAAGTAATTCAAAGTATTTTGTCATACTGTTTTCACAAGAAAAAGTAGATTTCATCTAGTTAGAAATTTAAGGCATTTTAGTATTCCAATCTATCTGAAGAATCAAAAAATAGCTACCTAATAATTTTATGTTTGTTTACAAGGATAAACAAACTTGGATTTAGAATATTTCGAGAGATTAAAACTGCTTGAAATCTTATATTTGAGAGGAGAAAAACGTAACGCCGATGCAAAGTTTGTTTACACTGATAAATTTGCCCTTGGACCTAATCCATATGATCTTAGGATCTATAAAGCATATATCCTCAAAATATTTCATTTATACTTATTCACTTATTCATTACAACAAGTCGTTATACAGACTCAACTTATCAGTCTTTATTTTCGATTCAAATGTAGTTTATTTAATCGTTTTATATCATTCGATAGAAATAATTTATTACTTTAATTTCAAATGATCATAAACCCGCCTTTGAAAAATACTTCATTCATTTATAGGTGCTTCACGAAAACTAGGCATAAATGTACGTCACGAAAACGCGATTTTTGACAAGCTGAAACGTAACTATACTCAAATCCTTTTACAAATAAAGAACTTCTACGTTTTCTCTATAAGCATTTGAATTTTCCTGTAGTTGATATCGACTGAGATTAATTAGGTTTTCTGGGCAAAAGTAAACCCTGATAGGATCTCCTAAATATTTCCATTAGGTCAAAAGCAATTTTCGGAAATGCTTGATATTGGTCAGGGGTAGAATGCATAACATGTGTTTTGTCCTGTTTGAGATTCATGAATTGAATGTAGCTGTATCCCAGTGTACGTGTTGACACACAGACTCGAACCCGATGCCTTTCTCTTTGAACGCATAGTGTCACAAGTCAATGGGTAAATGGAATCAGTAGCTAAGTGGACAAGGTGTCGAGCGTTTTAGTCATAAGGCATGAACATCAAGATTGGTGTGCATATGTATCCAACTGATGAATTCAAAATAAGACGAGTCTGGCCTCCTGGATCTTATTGCTAGGCACAACGAAACTCTATTAATAGTTTTATATATGAATGGAAAATATGATCTTGTGAGAATCGTCAACTTACCAGCACCAAGTTGATACCAAGAATACAAAATATAAGAACCAATAAGTATAGCGCCAACGGGATCTAAATACTTCAGATTTTCGTATTGTTCTATAAATAGGAAAAAGAGAATAAATCGAGTCAGTTCATATATATATATATATATATATATATATATATATATATATAATTGTACAGTGAAACATTGATTTTTGTAGCATTTTTAATGAATAGATAACATTGTTAAAACAATCGATTACTTTGACCAAATGAATTCATAATGAACAACGAGTTGTTGAAACAATTACAACATTGTAAAATGGAAATGCACATTCATATCAGATGGATTAATACACTAAGTACATGCATGATCAGTGTACATTAAAAATAAAACTCTGCTCACGTGCTAATTTCAATGAAATTAATTTATTTTTAAATTTAAATGAAAAACTGAACAGATAAAAAATGTACAAACTTTTCATTCCATTGACTATTGACGTTTTCCCGGTGACTGAAGCTCATAATCTAAAATGTCACTTAGAATTTCCTTTTGAGTCCTTTAAATATTGTTTGCCAATATCTGACATCAACAATTCCGGTTGATCTATCTTTAGATTGTTATGAAACATTTCGATTGGATAAAAGAATGATCTTTTTCCATAAAAATACTTTCGTCAGATTTATACAATTCAATGACATAAAATCTGAGTTACGTCGCAACGGTAATACAATAAATTACATTTTATATCCCTACGATATTTAATTTACTAGTTCTGATTAAAGATTTTTGAAAATACGCCAAGCAAACTCACTGTGTCCTACATTGTCTTATTCAAGACTTTTATGAATTCCAGTTTAAATAAAAGCAAAAGCGGTGAGAGATTTAAAAATACATGTGATCTACTCAAAAAGAACGTTTTAAAGTAGCATATGAAAATTTATATAACAATTTTCCATGTTTCAACGTTTGTTTCACAAATTTAATTTCTGTGTAAAAATCAATATTTTTGAGTCAACTTTAATATTCAAATACATTTT